GCTAGCCTTGAGCTGAAGAGCTGAGGGACAGCGCCCAGGCCCAGAGTTCAGGCCCCATGACCGGACCCCCCCCAAAAAAAAGCGTCTCACGGACTTTCCTGTCCTGGCTGGCTTTGAACTGTGATGCTCAGATCTCGGCCTCCTGAGTAGCTAGGATTATAGGTGTTAGCCACTGGCACCCAGCAGACCTTATGTTTCCTACTTACTCCTACTAAATAGCTCAGATTTTAAGTATGCCTCACCATGCCCAAGTTTTTTGGTGAGATATAGTTTTAGTTTGTTCAGGATAACCTCAAACCTTGATCCTGATTTTTGCCTCCCAAGCAGCTAAATTAGTTTCACATGGCCTTTAGATGATATATTCTCTGTCAAATCACTTTTCAAGTATTTTGTTGCTGTGTGTTTGAATATTGAAGGATGTCTGCAATCAGATAGGAAGCTCTAATACTAGAAATGGGCAAAATTAATAGAACTAGGCAGTCACCAGTTTCCTTTGCCATATATTGTTAAATCTGACTACAAGATGAGATAAATCCATTGTGAAACTTAGTTTTATTAAAGCAGCTTAAATAATTCTCTTTGCAGCAAAGCAGTCAACAAGGAGTATGAAGAATATGTTCTAACTGTTGGTGATTTTGATGAGAGGATCTTTTTGGGAGCAGACGCAGAAGAGGAAATTGGAACACCTCGAAAATTCCCTGGGGACACCCCATTAGCACAAACTAATGTGGAATGTAACCTTCAACAACACTTTGAAAAAGTAATATAACCTAGCCTGGCCTCAGTCTTGAATGATATTTGTCTTTTTCTGTGTGATTCTACTAACAGCAGAGGCAACTTTCAAGTTAAATCTTGAGTTTCTTCTACTAATTCATAGTTCCCATGAAAACTTTAAAAGGTAATTTTTGAAAACTGTGGCATTTATTCTTGCTGTTAATCATTTGGATACATTTTTCCAGCACACCTGGTTTTATTGTTACATTATATGTCTTCATCCTTTTGTTACTGCAGTGTAGCCTCTTTTGTGCAACTTGAAATATAGTTTGTTTTCCTACCCATGAAACAAACTAAGATTTTCCTTGATTTCAGCTAGAATGTAGACTTGATTGTTGCTGACCAAGGCCTAAAGTAGACACCTGTTTTAGTCCAAGCTTTGCCATTGTCTTTGTTAGCTTAAAAGAAGGAATTTACTTCTCTGTACCTGTTTCTACATTGGTAAGATTAAAGTGGGTATACTTTATATTTCAGATGAGTTTTCAGGGAACAAAATGGGATTATAGATACAAAGCATTTTGGAAAAGCATTATTCAAGTGTACAGATGTTATTGGCATAATAACCTGGAAAAGAGGCAAAGAAACCTATCTAAATGAGTATAGAAGATGGTACATGTGCTGAATTTGTGCTGAATTTAATATGTTATAAGAGGGAATGTTGCTTTTTAGTCTTACAGATTTTTCTTCTCTGACAGAAAAGATCATTTGCACCTTCTACTCCGCTGACAGGACGGAGATATTTACGAGAGAAAGAAGCAGCTATTACTCCTGTGGCTTCAGCTACCCAGAGTGTGAGCCGTTTACAGAGCATTGTGGCTGGACTGAAAAATGCACCTAGTGAACAACTTACAAGTATTTTTGAGTAAGTATAATTTTTAGTATAGTTAAAATTCTTGAAATCATGGTTATACATCTGGCAAGCTAAATGAATCATTTCAGTCATAAAACATGTTGACCTAAAACCACATAAAAATACACATTAAAATTATATGTTACTACTTCATAGGATTACAGATTTTCAAACAGATCTTAAAGTTTATTTAGCTTAGATATTCCACACTTGTAATTACTCCTGAGTTATGCATGTTTTTCTAGTTAAAATGACTCTAAATGGGTTAAATCTAAAGGTCCAGCATAGGGGAGGTTGAGTATGCATTGTTAGTGTGCCTTATAAAAATGAATTTTATGTTTTTGTCTGTCATGGGGCCTGAACTCGGCCTGGGTGCTGTACCTTAGCTCTTCAGCTCAAGGCTAGTGCTCTACTACTTGAGCCATAGCACCACTTCCAGCTTTTTCTGCTTAAGTGGTGCTAAGGAATTGAAAGATACATTTCTGACAGGCATGGTGGTACATACCTGTTATTCCAGTATTGCGGAAGCTGAGGCAGGAGGCTTGCAAGTTCAGAGACAGATTGGAGTATATGCAAGGAAGGAAGGAGGGAGGAAAGAAGGGAGGGAGGGAGGAAGAAGCGCCAGATGCTGATGGCTCACATATATACATTATGTGAAAGTAACAACAACAACAACAAAAAAAAAAACATTAAAAAGCCAGGCATAGTGGTACATGCCTATAATCCTAGCACTTGGGAAATAGGCAGGAGAATATGAGTTTATGGGAATCTGGGCTACTTGAGAAGTTCAAGATGAACCTGGCATATGTGATGAAGACCTCGTTACCCCCAAAATATACCTGAGTACCACTGACTGACACCTATAATCCAAGTTTCTTGGGAGGCTTAGAATGGAAGAATAAAACTTCAAGACCAGCCCAGACAGAAAAGTCCATGAAACACTTTCTTGACCAAGGAAAACTGGAAGTGATGATGGCCTGTAACAACAAAAGGAAGCCTATAAAATAGGAAATTGTGGTCTCTAGGTGTGCCCAGAAAGCAAACAGAATACTCTCAAAAATAAATAGGAAAGCATAGAGTGAGATCTACCTTAAAAATAACCAGTAGAAAAAGAGACTAAGGGGGCTGGGAAGGTGGCTCAGTGGTAGAGCGCTTGCCTTGCATGCATGAGGCCCTGGGTTCGATTTCTTAGCACCACATATGCAGAAAAAAAAAAAAGCTGGAAGTGGCACTGTGGCTCAAGTGGTAGAGCACTAGCCTTGAGCTGAAGAGCTGAGGGACAGTGCCCAGGCCCAGAGTTCAGGCCCCCTACCGGACCGTCCCCACCCCCCCCCAAAAAAAAAAGAGACTAAGGCATGGCTGAGCACATACCTAGCAAGAGAGAGTACTTCCCCAGTAAGTGTGAGGCTCCAAGTTCAGACCCCAGAAGCACCAAAACAAAAGAAAGCCAAAACAATCTAAATATAAGCCCAGGAACTATAAACTCCTAGAAAAAAATATGAAGAGACTACTTTGGGACATTGGGATGAAGAGTGGCCTGAATATTCCGCCAAAAGCACAAGTAACAAATGTAAACTATCAAAATTTAAATTTTATTTAGCAAAGGGAACAACAAGTGGAAAGGCAACATGTAGAATAGGAAAAAAGAATTGCAAACCATGTCTGATAAGGAGTTGACATCTAGAATGTATAAAGAATCTCTACAACTTGGTAAGCATGGTAGTACATGCCATGTATAATCCAGTTATTTTAGAAGCCCAGCCTAGGTTATCAAGAGTTCCTACAACTCTAACAAAACTACTCACCAGGGGCTGGGAAGATGGCTCAGTGGTAGAGTGCTTGCCTTGCATGCATGAGGCCCTGGGTTCGATTCCTCAGCACCACATAAGAAAAAAGCTGGAAAGTGGTGCTGTGGCTCAATTGGTAGAGCACTAGCCTTGAGCTAAAGAGCTGAGGGACAGCGCCCAGGCCCAGAGTTCAGGCCCCACGACCGGACCCCAAAAAAAAAAAAAACAAAAAAACTACTCACCAATTTGATTTAAATTCATATAAAGTGGCAGGCATGGGAGGGAAAAACTGGGAGAGAGCAAGAGAAGGGGTGACATTGTCCAAAAAGTACTCTTTACCTGACTTACATAACTGCAACCCCTTTGTATATCACCTTTATTATAACAATTTTAGCAACTTAAAAATAATTTTAAAAACATAAAGTAATTCATATATATCCAGTGGTTCATATCTAATCCTAGCTACTCAGAAGGCTGAGATCTGAGGATTGAGACTCAAAGCCAGCCCAGGCAGGAATGTCCAAAAGATTCTTACTCCAATTAACCACCAGAATGCTAGACTGTTGGCATGGCTCAAATGGTAGCTCACCAACCATGTACAAAAACCCAAGCAAGAGCTCAAGGCTCTGAGTTTAAGCCAAATAAATGGCCAATAAACATATAAAAATGCTAAACATTACTAATTGGGGAAATGCAAATCAAACCCACAATAAGAAATTACCACACATATATTAGGACAGCCACTTACTTCCCCTCCACCACTAAAAATAGCAAGTGTTGATGAGGCTGTGGGAAAGTCCAATCCTTCACATGTTACTGATAGATTGTAAAGTGGTGTAGCCACTTTGGAAATCAGTTCAAAATTTCCTCAAAGGGGTTTGGGAAGGTGGCTCAGTGGTAGAGTGCTTGCCTTGCATGCATGACACGCTGGGTTCTATTCCTCAGCACCACATAAGCAGAAAAAGCTGGAAGTGGTACTGTGGCTCAAGTGGTAGAGTGCTAGGCTTGAGTTGAAGAGCTGAGGGACAGCACTCAGGCCCCAACAAAAAAAAAAAAGTTTCCTCAAAAAAGCAATTATATATATATTATAAGCAATTATAAACCTGCAATACCACTTCCAAAAATATATCTGAAAAATAAAAATATATTCAGAGATACACAGTTACTGGTAGCTCACATCAATAATCCTAGCTACCCAAGATGTTGAGACCTAAGGATTATGGTTCAGTCCCAGTCCAAGAAGGAAAGTCTTTAAGACTATTTTTTCATTATTTTTATTTTTTGCTAGTCCTGGGCTTGAACTTAAGACCTGGGCACTGTCCCTGAGCTTCTTTGGCTCAAGGCTAGCACTCTTTCACATGAGCCATAGCACTACTACTGACTTTTTCTGTTTATGTGGTACTGAGGAATCAAACCCAGGGTTTTATGCATGCTAGCTAGGCAAGCACTCTACCACTAGGCCACATTTTCAGCCCATTCTGTGAGATTTAACTCCAGTAAACATACTAGGCAAACACTTTATCATTAAGGCACATTCCCAGCCCAAGACATTTTATCTCCAGTTAACCAGAAGTGGAGCTGTAGCTAAGTGGTAGAGGATTAGCCCTTGAGTGAAAGAGCCAAGGAACAGCACCCAGACCCCGAGTTCAAGTTCCAGTATCAGAGAGAAAAAAAAAATGAATGAATGAATATATATATATATATATATATATATATATATAATTTATTTATTTTTATTTCTTTGCCAGTCCCAGGGCTTGAACGCAGGGTCTGGGCACTGTCCCTGGGCCTCTTTGTGCTCATGGCTGACACTTTACCACTTGAACCACAATCCCATTTCCAGCTTTTTCTAAGTAGTTATTTGGAAATAAGAGTCTCATGGACTTTTCCTGCCCTGGCTGACTTAGAACCGCACCTCAGCTCTCAGCCTCCTGAGTAGCTAGGATTACAAGCATGAGCCACCAGCACCTGGCTTGGATATAGTTAAAAATTCGTATATATGTGAATTTAAAATAGAATCTCAAAGAGATATTTGTACTCCAGTATCATATTTCCTGAATCATTATTAACAACAAAGAAATGAAGTTATGGCTCAAAGTGGTAGAGTGCTAGCCTTGAATGAAAGAGCTTAAGGACAGCATCCAGGTCCTGAGTTCAGGTACCATGACTGAAAAAAATAAAAAAATTTAAAAAAAGGAGCAAAGATGTAGACGCAACCAATTTGTGCATGGATGAATGAATAAAGAAAATAGCATATGCACAGAATGGATTATTACTTGGCCTTAAAAAGAAGGAAATCCTGCTGGGCACTGTTGGCTTACACCTGTAATTCTAGCTACTCAAGAGGCTAAGATCTAAGGATTGCGGTTCAAAGCCAGCCTGGGCAGGAAAGTCCATGAGACTTTTTTTTTTTTCCCTCGTCAGTTGTGGGGCCTGAACTCTGGGCCAGGGCGCTGTCCCTCAACTCTTCAGGTCAAGGCTAGCGCTCTACCACTTGAGCCCAGTACCCCTTCTGGCTTTTTTCTGCTTATGTGGTGCTGAGGAATCGAACCCATGGCCTCATGTATGCAAGGCAAGCACTCTATCACTAAGCCACCTTCTCAGCCCTCAATGAGACTCTTACCTTCAATTAACCAACTGAAAACTGAAGGGTGCTGTGGCTTAAAGTGCTAGCCTTGAGAAAATGCTAAGGAACAGGGCCCCAGGCCCTGAGTTTAAGCCTCATGACCAATGGCCCCTCCCACCTCCAAAAAAGAAGGAAATCTTGTTATGTATTACATAGTGAATGAATTTGACTGTATTATGCTAAGTGAAATGAGTTAATCACAAAAACAAATACTATATGATTTTACATATATCAAGTAAAATAGTCAAACTCATAAAAACAAAAACTTTTTTTTTTTTTGCCAGTCCTAGGGCTTGAACTCAGGGCCTGGACACTGTCCCTGAGCTTCATTTGCTCCAGGCTAGCACTCTACCATTTGAGCAACAGCACCACTTCTGGCTTTTTCTGTTTATGTGGAACTAAGGAATCGAACCCAGGGTTTCATGTATGCTAGGAAAGCACTAAGCTAAGCCACATTCTCAGCCCTTTATATGAAATTTTATGTATCTTTATTTTTCTTTTATATATGTAGAGCTGTGTCACATTTGTAGATTTATACCTGAAAGCAGAATCTTGGAAACTAAAAACCAAATTAATTCTATAACTTGTTTGATTTTGAGATGGCATCTTGCTGTATAGCCCAGTCTGATGTCAAACTCATGGGCCCCTTGTCTCAGCCTTAAAAGAAGAAATGTTTGATAGTCTGGAATTCTTTTTCTTGATAATTGGATTCCTCTTGTGCTTTGCAGATCTTGTATGCGGAATCCTATGAAAAACATTATGAAAATAGTGAAAGAAATAGGAGAGACTTTCTGCCAACACTATACTCAGTCAACAGATGATCAGCCAGGATCTCACATAGGTAAGAATAAAAAAACGAAAGTTGGGAGAGCATTAAAAGTAAGTAATGAGGGCCGGGAAGGTGGTTCAGTGGTAGAGTGCTTGCCTTGCTTGCATGAGGCCCTGGGTTCAATTCCTCAGCACCACATAAGCAAAAAGAAAAAAGCCGGAAGTGGCACTGTGGCTCAAGTGGTAGAGCGTTAGCCTTGAGCTGAAGAGCTGAGGGACAGCGCTCAGGCCCAGAGTTCAGGCACCAAGACCAGACCCAAAAAGAAAAAAAATTTAAAAAATAAATAAAAGTAGGTAGTGATCCAGGTGCTGTGGCTTATGTTTATAATCCTAGCTACTTAGGAGCCAAAAACTTCTTTCTTTTTTTTTTTTTTTGGTCAGTCACGGAGCTTAAACTCTGGGCCTGAGCGCTGTCCCTCAGCTCTTCAGCTCAAGGCAAGCACTCTACCACTTGATCCACAGTGCCACTTACGGTTTTCTGGTAGTTAATTGAAGATAAGAGTTTCATGGACTTTCCTGCCTGGGCTGGCTTTGAACCACAATCCTAAGATCTTAGCCTCCTGAATAGCTAGGATTACAGGTGTGAGCCATTGGTGTGAGCCATTTCTAAGGCCTTTTGGCCAGCGTTGGCTAAGATCTCATCTCAACATACCTGTGCATACTTGTCACCCCAGCCTTGTGAGAGGCATAAAAAGGAGGCTCATTGTCTATACTGTCATTGGTTAAAAAGAAAATGAACCCTACCTGAAAAAATAACTAAGCAAAAGGGCTAGGAGTGTGATTCAAATGGTACAGCACATGGCCTAGAAAGTGGGAGACCTTGAGTTCAAACCCCACTACCACCAAACAAAATTAAAAAGAAGCCAGGCACCAGTGGCTCATGCCCATAATCCTAGTTACTCAGGTGGCTGAGATCTGAGGATTATGGTTTGAAGCCAGCCCAGACAGGAAAGTCTGTGAAACTCTTATCTCCTGTGAACTACTCAGAAAAAGCTGGAAGTGGCTCAAGTAGAATGCTAGCCTTGAGCAAAAGTAACTCAGGGACAGACCCTAGGCCAGGGTTCAAACCCTAGAGTTCAAGCAAAATAAAACAAAAACATTAAAAAGAGAAAAGCAAATAATTTGAAAAAAGAGAACATATATAGATGTTCTCATAGCGAAAGTTTAGAGTTATCTTTTCCTTCTTACTATGCTAGGTTTTCAATCCATAACTAGATTTCAACAACATGTATCTTTTTTATTTCAATTTAGATTTTGCTGTAAACAGGCTAAAGCTGGCAGAAATTTTGTATTATAAAATGTTAGAGACTGTAATGGTTCAGGAAACACGAAGGCTTCATGGAATGGATATGTCGGTAAGTAAATCTACTCTCTTAGCTACTGCAGTTCTACTCTCTTAGATGCAGAGTTCTTGCCTGGAAGAAGCCGTTTGTGGCAGACTTGGTCATGGTGACATTTAATTTGCTCTTGTTGGGTTTGTCATGTGCCCAACTAGCAACAACGTAGACAGAGATAAAATTCATCTTTGGAGCTGGGCGCTGGTGGCTCATGCCTGTAATCCTAGCTGCTCAGGAGGCTGAGATCTGAGGATTGTAGTTCAAAGCCAGCCTGGGCAGGAAAGTCTGTGAGGCTTTTTTTTTGGTCGGTTGTAGGGCTTGAACTCTGGGGTTGGGCACTGTCCCTGCGCATTTCAGCTCAAGGCAAGCGCTCTACTGCTTGAGCCACAGCACCAACAAACCACCAGAAAAACAGAAGTGGTGCTGTGGCTCAAGTGATAGAGTACTTGCTTGAGCTGAAAGCTGAGGGACAGCACTCAGACCCAGGGTTCAAGCCCTACAACCCACACAAAAAAATCCTGGGGGCTGGGAAGGTGGCTCAGTGGTAGAGCGCTTACCTTGCATGCCTGAGGCCCTGGGTTCGATTCCTCGGCACCACATAAGCAAAAAGAAAAAAGCCGGAAGTGGCGCCGTGGCTCAAGTAGTAGAGCGCTAGCCTTGAGCTGCAGAGCTGAGAGCCAGAACCCAGGCCCAGAGTTCAGGCCCCACGACCGGACCCCCCCCCCCAAAAAAAAAAATCCTTGGTATACCATCAGTGTTCTCTCCCTTTAGGTCCTTTTTATTTAGTCTTTTCATTCCCAGCTAGTGAAAATGAATGCACCACCTTCTAATTATTGAGCTAATTTGTATTGAAGATACTTATTTATTCATACCAGACATTTTTGCATTGTAAAGTGTTGTTTTTCTAAAAACTAAGTTATTTTTCTATGAACATTTAACAAAGTATGACCACTCCTTCCAACAGCTAGCTCAAAGAATTTTCCTCACAGGCTGGAAAGGTGGCTCAGTGGTAGAGTGCTTGCCTTGTGTGCATGAGATCCTGGGTTCGATTCCTCAGCACCACATAAGCAGAAAAAGCCGGAAGTGGCACTATGGCTCAAGTGGTAGAGTGCTAGCTTTGAGTTCAGGCCCCATGACCAACCCAAAAAAAAAAAAAAGAATTTTCCTCAAAGTTAAACCTGTCTTAATAGTCTTTCAGTTTCTTCCTCTTTCCATTCTTCTCCTATAGTCACTCTTAGTCTTATCACTGTCACACTAGGAGGAGGTGATATCCAAGTATTCTGCCTATCTGTTAAAATCATTTTCACTCTGGAAAAAATGTTTTCTTCTGTTGGTTCTTTTTCCTTGATTTTGTCTTTCATAGTTAAGAGACAGAGAGTGTGTGTATGCATACATGCACATTGGTACTAGAGCTTGAACTCACGACCCAGGTGCTGTCTCTCAGTTTAAAAGTGTTTTGTTTATGTTTTGTCTTTTTTGGTACTGAAATCAAACCCAGGACATTGCACTTTCTAGGCAAGTGCTTTGCCACTGAGCTACATCCCAGCCCCATTAACTTTTTACTCAAAGCTAGCATTCTACTTCTGACTATTGCCGGTTAATTAGAGATAAACAGTCTTTCTGCCTGGGCTAGCTTGGAATTGTAATCCTCAGATCTCAACCTTCTGAGTAGTTAGTATTATAGGTGTAAGCCACTAGTGCCCAGCTTTGTGTGCCTGTGCTTGCTTGTGTGTGTGTGTGTGTGTGTGTATGTGTGAGAGAGAGAGAGAGAGACAAAGACAGACAGATGTTAGAGCTTGAGTCTGTTCTTTAAGAGTTTTGTATTTTCCTTGCTTTTCACTCCTTCCTCTATCTTCCCTTTGAATAATCAAAGCTCCAGAAAGAATCGTCTTCCTTTTTATTCTCTTTTTTCTTTATTCCTAGTTTTATGCAAGATAGAATTTCTGTTACTTTTTCTCTTTGATATTGGGAAGAAGAAGGGCAATAAACTCCATTTAAAGCATGGAGAACATATGTTGACTCCAGGGCTGGGAAGGTGGCTCAGTGGTAGAGCGCTTGCCTTGCATGCCTGAGGCCCTGGGTTCGATTCCTCAGCACCACATAAGCAAAAAGAAAAAAGCCAGAAGTGGTGCTGTGGCTCAAGTGGTAGAGCACTAGTCTTGAGCTGCAGAGCTGAGGGACAGCGCCCAGGCCCAGAGTTCAGGCCCCACAACCAGACCCAAAAAAAACAACAAACCATATATTTACTCCCTGGTGAAAGAAGACTTTTATGTTCTGTGAAATATATTTCTCAGAAATGTTTACTTCTTGCCCGGTGCTGGTGGCTTATGCCTTATGCCTTTAATTCTAGCTATTGAAGAGGCTGAGATCTGAGGATCACTGTTCTAAGCCAGCCCAGGTGTGAAAGTCCATGAGACTCTTATCTCCAATTAACCACCAGAAAACTGGAAGTGATGCTGTGGCTCAAACATTAGAATGCTCACCTTGAGCTGAAGAAAGAGCTTAGGGACAGCACCCAGGCTCAGAGTTCAAGCCCCATGACCAACAACAACAACAAAAAACGTTCTTAACTATTACATTATTTTCCTTCTACTTCAGTACTTTGATTAATAAATCTTTAGGCTTACAAAACAAATGTCATTCAAAAGAAAAGGAGAGCTGAGAACATTGTTTAGTGGTAGAGTAGTTACCTAGCATGCATGAGGTCCTGGATTCAATTCCTCAGTACTACATAAACAAAAAATAATAAAAGCTGGGTTGTAGGCCATGGAAGGTATTTTAGAAAGAAAAAGAAAGAGGCTGGGAAGGTGGCTCAGTGGTAGAGTGCTTGTCTTGCATGCATGAGGCCTTGGGTTCGACTCCTCAACACCAGTTAAGCAGAAAAATCCAGAAATGGCACTGTGGCTCAAATGGTAGAGCACTAGCCTTGAGCTGAAGACTGAGGGACAAAATCCAGGCCCAGAATTGAGGCTCTACAACCAAAAGAAGGAAGGAAGGAGGGAAGGAACTAATCCTAAGGTTTGGGGCTTTTTTTGTTTTTGTTTTTGTCAGTTGTAGGGCTTGAACTCTGGGCTTGGGTGCTGTTCCTCAGCTCTTCAGCTCAAGATGAGCACTTTACCTCTTTTTCTTTTTTTTTTTGCTAAATTTAATATTTATTCAAATAAAATGAGTCTGTGAAGCACTTTACCTCTTGATCCACAGCGCAATTTCCAGTTTTCTGGTGTTTAATTGAAGATAAAAGTCTCACGGCCTTTCTTGCCTGGGCTGGTTTGAACTACAGTCCTAAGATCTCTGCTCCTGAGTAGCTAGAATTACAGGCATAGTCACCAGTGCCAGGCTCTTTTAATGGAAATATAAACTATTTTATTTGTTCAGATTTCAAAGCAGATTTTTAATGTATGTCTTATTTAAATTAAATAAGATTAGTTATAATAGGAATGATTAAAATTAGATATAAAAAGGAGAACTACTATTCTGAGAACTGGTGTGTATATGTGTGTATGAATGGTGTGTGTATTCATTGTGTGTACACTGGGATTGAACCTTATATGTGCTAGTCAAGGGCTCCACCCCTGAGTTACACTCCTAGCCAAAAAGTCTTCTATCCTGATAATGTAGCATAATATAATTTTCACAAATTATTGTCATTATACAGTTTTCCTTTTTGTTTTTTGAGGTAGAGTTTCCTTATGTAGCCTTTAAATATGCCTTCATGGTATGATCTCTTGCTGGGTTATAGTTGTCTTTTCAGAATGCTAAAGATTGAAATTGCTGAGAAATGTTAACTTTCCTTTCCCTAAGGTACTTTTAGAGCAGGATGTATTCCATCGCTCCTTGATAGCTTGTTGCTTGGAAATTGTGCTCTTTGCCTACAGTTCACCTCGTACTTTTCCTTGGATTATTGAAATTCTCCATTTGCAGCCATTTTACTTCTATAAGGTAAGATGATACCAAAATTCTGTATGCTGTATCTCACATAAACATTGTATTTATCTTAGTGCCAAAGAAACACCATCATAATGTCTCGAATATGTTTCTAGAGTTTGTCAGATAATATATATTCCTTTTGGGTAGAGTCAAGAATTCAAGGGAAAGCTGGGCACTGGTAGCTCACACCTGTAATCCTCTCAGGAGGCTGAGATCTGAGGATCATCATTCATAGCCAGCCCGGGTAGGAAAGTCTGTGAGACTCCTATCTCCAGTAAGCCACCAGAAAACTGGAAGTGGTTTTCTGGTGGTCAATTGGAGATAAGAGTCTCACTTTCCTGCTTGGGCTGGCTTTGATGGGATCCTCAGATCTCATCTTCTTGAGTAGCTTGAATTACAAGTATGAGCCGCCAGTGACCAGCTTACTGTTATGTTTATTAGTATAATTTAGTTACTATTTGGTACTCCGTGTTACTTTCAAACTGCTGATAATAGAAAAATTACATTTGGGACTGGGAAGGTGGCTCAGTGGTAGAGTGCTTACCTCGCATGCAGAGGCCTTGGGTTTGATTCCTCAGCACCACATAAACAGAAAAGGACAGAAGTGGCACTGTGGCTCAAGTGGTAGAGCGCTAGCCTTGTGCAAAAGCAGCTCAGAGACAGCACCCAGGCCCTGAGTTCAAACCCCAGGACTGGCACAAAAAGAAAAAAAAATTATATTTGAAAAGTTAAATTTTTTTTGGGGGGGGGGGTCCGGTCGTGGGGCCTGACCTCTGGGCCTGAGCGCTGTCCCTCAGCTCTTCAGCTCAAGGCTAGCCCTCTACCACTTGAGCCACAGTGTCACTTCCGGCTTTTTTCTTTTTGCTTATGTGGTGCTGAGGAATCGAACCCAAGGCCTCAGGCATGCAAGACAAGCACTCTACCACTGAGCCACCTTCTCAGCCCCGAAAAGTTAAATTTTTGTACATACTTAGCCTGAAATAGTTGTAGTAAATGTACATTATTGGAAAGTTTATCTGTTTGAACTGTAATCAAATACTACCCATCAGCAGTAGCTTCTTGGGGAGAAGGCTGATACTATCCCAGTGTCTGGAGGCAGAGATTCAGGCACACCAGAATAGAGCTAGAGGGACCTATCACCTTACGAGGGATGGTATGGGGCTTGTGACCTTAGCTCCTAGACATAACCCTTGGATGGCCGTAGCTACCTCTTTGGAGAATTTAATAAATCATCATAGCCACTATAGTCTCCAGTGACGACACAGGCATTGAACATGGTTTGCTAGTCCGTTTGAGTATGCTTTGCATCAACATAATCTTCAAAGCTTCATCCTTGAGGGATACCCTTAGGAAAAGTTAGTGAGCTCAGTTTCCCTAATGGTTAGCAAAGAGAAAAAGTCTCCAGGGAGTTGATATTGAACAACCAGTTCAACTTGCTAATGAGGACCCTTTGTCTTCCGCCTTGCCTCCATGAACTGCCTGACCCCAGTCTCCAATGCTACTGTGAAAGTGGCTTGGAAGCTGCTATGGCCTGCCATTTCCAAACCTCTAGGCTCTTTCCTGTACCACAATCACTCATCATAGGTGTTTTCTTAGAGAAAAACAACTTAGCTACTTAAAATAGTTTATTTCTTCTACTAATAACCCATTAGGAATCCCGTCAGACTGCGACAAAATTCCATTCCACCCATACTACACAACTAAGGATTTCCTCTTTTGAAATTTTGGGAAGAATAGTCTGGGAAGAGAGTAAATTCAAAATAAATAGACTACATGGGGGAAAGGAAATAAGAAATATTGATGGGTGTGAATTTGATCAAGTACCTTATGTACATGTATGGAAATGTCACAAGAAACTTCTTTGCTTGATTAATGCATGCTAATAAAGAAGGTGAAGAGGCTAAATTGGAAACCCAAGAGCTGTTTTCTACTGCAGCAGTTTCTGTTTATCATTGTACCAGTTTCATATTATAATATAATAAACAATGGTATCTAGTGAAATTCCAGCTAGCTACTCAGGAGGCACAGGCAGGAGGATTGTAAATTCAAGGCTAGCTCAAGCAAAGTTAGTTAGACTTCATCTCAAAAAAACAATTGTGATGGCAATAGTCAAGATTCTCTTCTCTATATTCAGTGAAATGTACATCATTACTACATATTTTCATCTTAAATGTCTACTAGAATAAATAACCAGTGTTTTCTCCTGGAAGAAAAAAAAATAAAAACAGAACAGAAGGATTGAGGAAGTGACTCAGGTAATAGAACCCTGGGTTCAGTCCCTAGTACCTCAAAAGAAAAGAAAACAAAAACAACAGAAATCTATTTTCTGAATGTGAAAATATTTTAAAGACTTGAAAGCGTCTTTATAAGTTAAAAGATGGCATTGGTTCTATGTTGGAGAGTAAGGCTGGAGCCAGTCATGCTTGTGAGGCCAGAATGGAACTGACAACTTGAAACTACCTTACCTTCTCAACTTTCTTCTTTATAGGTTATTGAAGTGGTGATCCGCTCAGAGGAGGGGCTTTCCAGGGACATGGTGAAACACCTGAATAGCATTGAAGAACAGATTTTGGAGAGTTTAGCATGGGGTCATAATTCTACACTGTGGGAGGCTCTTCAATTGTCTTCAGACAGAGTTCCTACTTGTGAAGAAGTGAGTTGTGGCAAGGCTAAGAAATCCAATCATTTTAAAATAGGGGCTTCAGGGCTGGGAAGGTGGCTCAGTGGTAGAGTGCTTGCCTTGTATGCATGAGGCCCTGGGTTCAATTCCTCAGCACCCCAAAGGCAGAAAAAGCCAGAAGTGGTGCTGTGGCTCAAGTGGTAGAGAGTACTAGCCTTGAGCTGAAGAGCTGAGGGACAGCACCGAGGCCCAGGATTCAGGCCCCCCAACCCACAAAAAAAATAGGAGCTTCTTCAATACATATTTCACATACCATGTAATTTGCCCACTAAAAGTGTTTTTTAGTCATCAGTAAAGTCAGTTTTAAAACATATTTATCACCTCAGTAAGAAATACTCCTTAGTTAGTATTTCCTATCCCTAATCCTAAGCAACCACTAATCAATTTTCTGTCAGTATAGATTTACATACTATGAACTTTTATACAAATGGGATCATATACATATGATTATATGATTGGTTCCTGGCTTCTTTCACTTGGCATAATTGTTTTGAGTTCATCCATATTGCAGTATATATTAGTCTTTCATTTCTTTGTGTTGCTAAATAGTACTCCATTTATGGATGTGCTACTTTTTGGGTATATGTCCAGGTCCTGGGCCATGAACTCAGGGCCCGGGCACTGCCCTTAGTTGTTGTGTTTTTTGTTTGTTTTTGGGGTTTTTTTGCTCAAGGCATATGTTCTGTCACTTGAGCCATAGCTCCATCTCTTCCTATTTTGGGGGGTAGGGATGTGGTAAATTGTAAATAAGAATCTCATGGAGTTTCTTTCCCAGGCTGTCTTCAAACCATGATCCTCAGATCTCAGCTTCCTGTGTAGCTAGATTATAGGCTTGAGTCACTCATGCCTGGCAATAGACTACCTTTTATCCATTTATCAGCAGACAAATATTTGGTTTATTTTTGCCTTTTGGCTAATACAAATGTATTTCTGTGAACATTCAGATGCAAGGTATTATGAATTTGTTTTCATTTTTCCTGGGTACACTTGTACAGTGAGAATTGCTGGCTCATTTGGTTATTATTTTGTAAGATTTTAGAGAACTGTCATCTGACCCTTAGTTTTTTCTGCTCAAGTCTGGTACTCTACCACTTGAGCCATAGCTCCACTTCTGTATTTTTGATGGTTTATTGGAGATGAGTCTCGTAGACTTTGCTGCTTGGGCTGGCTTTGAACCTTGATCCTCATATCTCATCTTAATAGCTAGAATTATGGGTGTGAGCCACCAGTGCCTAGCTAATGTAATTTTTTGTTTTGTTTTGTCAGTCATGGGTCTTGAACTCTGGGCTTGGGTGCTATCCCTGCGCTCTTCAAGGCGAGCGCTCTACCACTTGAGCCACAGTGCTAGTGGTACTTAATCGGAAATAAGAGTCTCATGGACATTCCTGCCAGGGCTGGCTTTGAACCGTGATCCTCAGATCTTAGCCTCCTGAGTAGCTAGGATTACAGGCGTGAGCCATCGGCACCGAGCTTTTAGTAGGATAATAGGACCTTTACTTCATGCTAGTGTGAAACTATTTAAAATAATACCTATTTTTTTCACTAGGTTCATCCATGTAAAGTGTTTTTGTTTCCTATAGGTTATATTCCCAAATAACTTTGAAATAGGAAATGGTGGAAATGTACAGATGCATCTCCCTATGATACCCATGTCTCCTATCATGCATCCAAGAGTCAAGGAAGTTCGGACTGATAGTGGGAGTCTTCGAAAGGGTAGGTTTAACCTTGGCAAAACATTGAAACAATAACAAAACCAGAGAAAATATGAAGTCAATAATGTCATTAAGAAATCTAATTTCTTCATCAGGATTTGAGAAAAGACTTAATGCTTAGATTCTTTTGTGGCATGTTATATACTTACAAATTAAAGTAAAAGGGTTTCTAGTCTGATTTGTAATGTAATTTTTTTTTGGGGGGGGGGATCCTGTCGTGGGCCTGAACTCTGGGCCTGGGCGCTGTCCCTCAGCTCTTCAGCTCAAGGCTGGCACTCTACAGCTTGAGCCACAATGCCACTTCCGGCTTTTTTTTTCTGCTTATGTGGTTCTGAGGAATTGAAGCCAGGGCCCCATGCATGCAGGGCAAGCGCTCTACCACTGAGCCACCTTCCTAGCTCCCATGATTTGTAATGTAATTTTTGTGTGTGTGTCCACGTGTGTGCATGTGTGCCTTTCCAGTCCTTGAATTCAGGATGTAGGTGCTGTCCCTGAGCATTTGTGCTCAAGGCTAGCACTCTACCACTTGAGCCACATCTCCACTTCTGGATTTTTTTCTTTTTTTGGGGTCTGGTTGTGGGGCCTGAACTCTAGGCCTGGGCGCTGTCCCTCAGCTCTTCAGCTCAAGGTTAGCACCCTACCACTTGAGCCACAGCGCCACTTCCATCTTTTTTTGCTTATGTGGTGCTGAGGAATCGAACCCAGGTCCTCAGGCATGCAAGGCAAGCGCTCTACCACTGAGCCACCTTCCCAGCCCCCACTTTTAGATTTTTGATGATTAATTTGGAGATGAGTCTCATAGGCTTTGCTGCTTGGGCTGGCTTTGAACCTGGATCCTCATATCTCAGCTTCCTGAGTAGCTAGAATTACAGGCATGAGCCACCAATGCCTAGCTAATGTAATTTATTTTTTTAAGTTGCAATGTCAATTATTATGGAAATAATTTGAGCTTTTAGTAAGATAATATAACCTTTCTCCCATACTAGTGTGAAACTATTTAAATAAAGTAATACCTATTTTTCCAGGAATGTAAAAACTATATTCTTTATATATGTCTCTGAAGAAAGATAAGATACTATTAGTAGATAAGATTGAGATATAGAAGGTAATTAGGCTACTTGAACTTAACAGTCACTTTATTCTACCTCTTAACTTGTACTTTGTCCTTAACATGGGGCTCCTGAAAAGGCAGAACTTCAAGAAAGCAAGAAAATGAACTATCAAAATTTTTATGTTATTGTAATAATAATTTCATGCCTGTCTCAATGTTAGTCACAAACCATCCCTAGTGCCTAGCTTATAAGTCAATAAAACTGATTCCTTATTTTGGGATGTATATCAAACTTTTGCATTTATTTTCTCTTTACTAGATATGCAACCATTGTCTCCAATTTCTGTTCATGAACGCTACAGTTCTCCTACTGCAGGGAGTGCCAAGAGAAGACTTTTTAGAGATGATCCCCCAAAGGAAGTGCTTGTGGATAAGATTATGACCGAAGGAACAAAACTGAAAATTGCTCCTTCAAGCATTACTGCTGAAAACATATCAATTTCTCCTGGGCAAACCCTTCTAACAATGGCCACAGCTACAGTAACAGGGTCAAAAGGACATAAAGTTACAATTCCAATGCATGGTAACCTTACTACACTTATTTCATATTTTTTCTGAATTAGATAAAAAATGTTTTGAAGAAATGTCTTACTGAATTGGGTCACATGTCTTCTAACTCAATAATTTTGTATTTTTTCCTGGAATCCAAACCTTCCTCCTTAATAGACTTGGTGTTTTAGAGCAGTTTAAAGTTTACAGGAAAATTGAGAGTTATATGTAAAGATTTCCAGGCATTCTGCCCTCCACCCCAGTGTCACTAGTAGTCATCTCATACCTAAGTGATACGTATGTTACTATCAGTGTACCTACATCAGTATTCACTGCCCAAAGCCTATACCATACATTAATTGCTGTTGTACACTAAATTTTTGTTTTTGTTTTGTTTTTTGTCAGTCATTGGGCTTGAACTCTGGGCCTGGGCACTGTCCCTAAGCTCTTCAGCTCAAGGTGAGCACTCTACCACTTGAGCCACAGAACTACTTCTGGTTTTCAGGTGGCTCATTAGAGATAAGAGTCTCACGGACTTTCCTGCCCAGGCTGGCTTTGAACCGTGATCCTCAGATCTCAGCCTCCTGAGTAGCTAGGATTACAGGCATGAGCCACCAGCACCCTGCTATACACTGAATTTTGATAATGTATTATGACATATGTCATTATAATATCATACATAGTACTAAAAAATCCTTCATACTCCAACATTAGTTTTGTTATGAATCTAAACTTTTTTCTAAATTTTCATATTTTAAAATTTTACTACCCTCTTTGTTAGAATTTATTTTGTTATCTGAGCTTTTTTTTTTTTTAATTATAATTTTAACCTTTTTTTTTTTGTCAGTTGTGGGGCCTGAACTCAGTCTGGGCACTGTCCCTCAGCTCTTCAGCTCAAGGCTAACACTCTACCACTTGAACTATACCACTTGTGGCTTTTTCTGCTTATGTGGTGCTAAGGAATCGAAACCAGGGCCTCATGCATGCAAGGCAAGCACTCTACCACTGAGCCACCTTCCCAGCCCCAAAATATAATTTTTTTTTGGAGGGGGGTCCGGTCATGGGGCCTGAACTCTGGCCTGGGCGCTGTGCCTCAGCTCAAGGCTAGGGCTGTACCACTTGAGCCACAGAGCCACTTCCGGCTTTTTTCTTTTGCTTATGTGGTGCTGAGGAATCAAACCCAGGGCCTTATGCATGCAAGGCAAACACTCTACCACTGAGCCACCTTCCCAGCCCCTTGAATACAATGTATCTTGATTAATGTCATCCCTTTCACCATTCTCTGAGCTTTATAAATAGGTGAATTGAACAAGAATTTTACATTTTAATGAACATCTTCCAGATTCGCTTTTAAAAATGAAAGTATGAAAACATCTCAGGCACACGCAAAGTGGAGAAAATGTTTCTCTAATTAAGATGTCCAAACAAAAAAGAATAATATTTTTTTTGAGGAGAAATAGAAATTCAGTCCTGAGACTTACTTCGTACCCTTCCTCTTGTTTCCTAACATCCTTTTATGCATATACATACAGAGACAAAATATATGTAATTGACAACTATTTTAGAACATAGGAGTTTATTTTAAAACCAAGACCTCTTATTGCATATTTAGGTGTTGCAAATGATGCTGGAGAGATCACACTGATACCTATTTCTATGAACTCAACTCAAGCATCCAAAGTTGAGAGTCCAGTACCACTGACTGCTCAGTCATTATCGAGTGCCTCTCCACAACAGACCCATCTGACTAATGCACAGGAAGTTCATCTGACTGGAATAAGCAAACCAAAGAGAACTGGATCCCTAGCATTATTTTACAGAAAGGTATGTGTTTTTATAACATTTGGAAAGAGCTTGTTTAATTAAATAACAACAACTTTGGCTTACTCTCTTCCTTAACTTTCCTTTTTTGTTTCCTGTCTGTTCTCTCTCTGTTTCTCCTTCTATCTGTCTGTCTCTCTCTCTCTCTCTTTCTCTCTCTCTTTCTCCTTTATTTTTCTTTGTTCTACTCCAGTCTATGGAAGGGAAACTATTGAGACCTAGGACCTCAACAGGAAGAGGCCACCCTGGCCCTCAGGGGCTTTTACTTGACCTTGGGCAGAGGTTGTTGGTGTGACCATAGTTCTTGTCATAGATGATAGCACAGCAGGGTAACGCTTGTGGCAGATCAACTTGTCAAAGTTGTACTTCTATGCTAGTTGCCATAGGGTGGGCTCAGTGATGCCACCTCAAAGCAGAGCATTAAATGTATGGTGGGCTCTTTTTTAGATATTGTCTGAAGATGTAGCAATCCCCCAGCTGCTTACTATTAAATATCAGTCACTGCTTATCAATTGGGATGCCTTCCTCATTATGGATTTTTTGTTGTTGTTGTTGGTTGTAGGACTTGAACTCTGGGCCTGAGCACTGTCCTTCAGCTCTTCAGCTCAAGGCTAGCGCTCTACCACTCTGGTTTTCTGAGTAGTTTATTGGAAATAAGAGTCTCACGGAGTTTCCTGCCCAGACTGGCTTTGAACCATGATCCTCAGATCTCAGCCTCCTGAGTAGCTAGGATTACAGTTGTGAGCCAACTGCGCCTGGCAGTTACCGAATTTTTTTAAAATAACCATCAAATGGTTATTAAATAGTATGTCCTTGTAATTTGGATTTTCATTTCCTTAATGGTTATTGAAATTACAAATATTTTCATGAGATTATTGACATATCTTCTTTGGAGAAATGTCTATTTAAGTCCTTGGCCCACTTTCAATTGGATGTTTGTGGTTGAGGTACAGGATTTTTTTGTTCTGCATATTAATCCCTTATCAGACTTACAAATATTTTCCATTCCTATAGTAGTTGTTTCACTCTGTTGGTACTGTCTTTGGATGCTTGTCCTATCCTGCCTAACTTGAGTGTAAGGATAGAAAGGAGGAAATGGGGGAGAAAGATGAAAGGGTGACATTGATTGAGATGCATTGTACTCATAACCTGACAGAATTGAAATCTATCTATACAACTACTTAATTTTTTAAATACTGGGTGCTAGTGGCTCATACTTGTTATGTTAGTGACTCAGGAGACTGAGATCTGAGGATCCTGGTTCAAAGCTAACTCAGGCAGGAAAGAATGTGAGACTCTTATCTTTAATTAGCCATCAAAAAACTGTAAGTGGAGCTGTGGCTTAAAGTAGTAGAGGTAGCTCTAGCCTTGAGTACAAAAATTTAGGGACAGCACTCAGGCCCTGAGTTGAAGCTCCACAACTGACAAAAAAAAAAAAAAAAATATATATATATATATATATAGCCTGCCTAGAAAATTAAGAGGAATAGATAGTGGCTTAGTGGTAGAATGAATGCTTAGTATTAGTGATTCCCCTGTGTTCAAACTCAGCACCAAAACCCCAGCAATCTTTCCCTCCCTTCAGAGGGGGTGAAGAATTGAAATGCCCAAATCTATAATAAATTTAAAATAACCATTCCATGATGAACTTGGTGTCATGCTGGAATTCTATGCCTAAGTAAAATTTACTGTTAATTTTTTACTATAAAAATCCTTCTCTAGGGCTGGGAAGGTGGCTCAGTGGTAGAGCACTTGCCTTGCATGCCTGAGGCCCTGGGTTCAATTCCCCAGCACCACATAAGCAAAAAGAAAAAAGCTGGAAGTGGCGCTGTGGCTCAAGTGGTAGAGCATTAGCCTTGAGCCGAAGAGCTGAGGGACAGCGCCCAGACCCAGAGTTCAGGCCCCAGGACCGGACCCCCAAAAAAATCCTTCTCTGTGTATCTATAAGGATTAGTTTTGTAAAAGTACGTGTGTTAAAATTCTTCTAGCTAGTACTATATTATCTCATTTTCTTATGAATATAAAATCTACCATCTTTCCTTACCTTTACTCTGACCCAAACTGGTACCTGTTTATCTCAGGGCCAGCTGGACCATGATAGGGATGGGATGCAGAATATAAAGTTTGCTGTAAAATGATTCACTGATGGTTTTGGAGCCGACCACATGTCTCTTTTCATCAAATTAGCCTATCAAATAGTTTAAATTAGTTTTTCAGCTCAGTATATGAATATTTTACTTGCCAAAAATAATTTTCTCTAAAAGATGCCTTCCTGTCTTGTTTTGTTTTTTATTTCTTCACACACCCCAACATAATTTTTTATTTTTTATTTTTTGTCGTGGGGCTTGAACTAAGGACCTGAGCTTTTTTGTTCAAGGCCACTTTAAGCCACAGCTCCACTTACAGTTTTGGAGTTGTTAATAGGAGATAAGAACCTCACAGAGCCGGGCGCCATTGGCTCAGGCCTATAATCCTAGCTACTCAGGAGGCTGAGATTTGAGGATCAAGGTTCAAAGCCAGCCCAGGCAGAAAAGTCCATGAGACTCTGATCTCCAAGAAAAACCGCTAGGATACCAGAAGTGGCGCTGTGGCTCAAGAGGTAGAGTGCTTGCCTTGAGCTGAAGAGTGCAGGGACAGCACCCAGGCCCAGAATTCAAGCCCCATGACCGACAAAAAAAAAAAAAAAAGAACCTAACAGACATTCCTACCTAGCTAGCTTTGAGCTTCGATCCAAGATCTCAGCTTCCTGAGTAGCTAGGATTATAGGCATGAGCCACCCATACCCACCTTCCAACATAAAATTTAAAGAGTCAGTTTAAACAAAATGGTTCAGCTTTGTTTTTTTTGTTTGTTTTTTTGTTTTTGGTCGGTCATGGGGCTTGAACTCTGGGCTTGGGCGCTGTCCCTCAGCTCTTCAGCTCAAGGCGAGTGCTCTACCACTTGAGCTACAGCGCCACTTCCGGTTTTCTGGCGGTTTATTGGAGATAGGAGTCTCACAGTCTCTCTTGCCTGGGCTGGCTTTGAACCGCGATCCTCAGATCTCAGCCTCCTGAGTAGCTAGGATTACAGGCGTGAGCCATCAGCGCCCGGCTTCAACTTTGTAATTAACAATATTAAGCAAAAAAAGTAGAACCAGATGCTTAATAAAAAAGAAGGTCAGAGCCTAAACTTATATAGACTAAAATTGGGAAGAATGTTTCCTTTACTAGAGAAATAGGACTTTGCCTGGTCTTTTAAATGGTAGTATTTAGATAGATGTTTATAATAAGATTCCAGGTGAGAACAACTAGAGAAAGGGGGAGAGGGCAATTGAAGAGACAAGAAATTGATTTGAGGAAACAGTAAGCAAACTATAGTTTGACAAGTTTGGAGAGCATATATGGTTATGAGGGAATTTTCCTGTTTGCATTAAGTCTTTCTGCATATTAACTGCAGAGATGTAGAGTGCCACTACACCATGCTTGTGGCTACCATGACCGTTCTGCTCCAAAGGGTTCAGGAAATACATACTAAAGACGTTCTGAAACCATGAGAAACCTTTTATAAAACTGGAAATCCACCCATAATAAATGAACAACAGGTACTGTCAGTTTAGATCCAGTCCTGTATTTGGGTGCACGAATGTATCTATGTACAAAAATACATGTTCTTACTAGAATGTTATTTAATTAGCAATAATCTATCTCTTCTATAACGAAGTTAATATTCATCAAAGTTCTAAAAGTATTCACTCTTCATGTGTATATGTGTCCTTGTGCATGCGTGCACATGCTGGTCCTGGGGCTTGAACTCAGGGACTAGACTCTGTCTCAAGTTTCTTTTGCTCAAGGCTACTGCTCTACCACGTAAGCCATACTTCTAGTTATGGATTTTTGTTATTGTTAGTTGTGGGGATTGACCTCCAAGTCTACGTGCTGTCCCTGAGCTCTTCAGCTCAAAGTGAGTGCTCTACCATTTGAGCCACAGTGCCACTTCTGGTTTTCTGGTGTTTAATTGGAGATGATAATCTCATGGGACTTGGGCTGGCTTTAAGCCATGATCCTCAGATCTCAGCCTCTTGAGTAGCTAGGATTACAGGTGTGAGCCACCAGTGCCCCACTTTTTTTTTTTTTTTATAGTTTTAGCAGAAATAGTTACAGATTTTCCTGCCCAGGCTGGCTTTGAACTGCAGTTCTCAGATCCCAGCCTCCTAAGTAGCTAGGACCAAGCCCTGAGTTCAAGCCCCACAACTGGCAAAAAACAAAAACAAAAAAATCTCATTTACTTTAAATATTCTTGTTTTTGCTCATTACAAACAATATAGCATAAAAGAGAAAATTTTTAATGATTTTGCTTTCTGAGTCATTTTTGAAGTAAAAAAACTGTCTGGCATATAAGACTTCTTAGCAATCTTATCTGAACAGAAAAAGAACACAGAGACTTTGAACACTTAAAAATTATACATATTTGTAATTGTCTGCATCTTTTTCATAAATGCTTTTAAAATAATGTTCTAAAGAAGATTCTGTTTAGTATGTAATCCCTGCCACAACAGTGAATTAATGTTATAGAACAGAAATTTTGAATAATTTGGTATCAACTAGATGTTTTTAAATCTTGGTTTTTAATCCATGTTCATGGTTCAAACATTTGAGAAATAATCTACTTTTTTTTCATCAATGTTTTATCTTCTATTTTAGGTCTATCATTTGGCAAGTGTACGGTTGCGTGATTTATGTTTAAAACTAGATGTTTCAAATGAATTGCGAAGGAAAATATGGACGTGTTTTGAATTCACTTTAGTTCACTGCCCTGATTTAATGAAAGATAGACATTTGGATCAGCTACTCCTTTGTGCCTTTTACATCATGGCCAAGGTAATATACAGGTTGAGACGAGGTCTTTGCTCTTATTGCCTTACTTTGAAGCATCAGATAAGAAGTCTTGATTTTGTTGCTTAGTTTTCCTTTAGTGCTGCAAGCCAACAGTACTCATTATTAAGTAACAATTTTGAGCTATCTTCTCTGTACTCTTCAGTGTCATAATAATCAGCTTTCCTACTTCATATGAATATATTGATTATAAAGAAGTTAGAAAATGTGAGTAACAGGGCTGGGAAGGTGGCTCAGTGGTAGAGTGCTTGCCTTGCATGCCTGAGGCCCTGGGTTCGATTCCTCAGCACCACATAAGCAAAAAGAAAAACTCCGGAAGTGGTGCTGTGGCTCAAGTGGTAGAGCGCTAGCCTTGAGCTGTTGAGCTTGAGGGACAGCGCCCAGGCCCAGAGTTCAGGCCCCACGGCTGGACCCCCCCCCCAAAAAAAAAGAAAAGAAAATGTAAATAACATATTTCCAACCCCAGCCCTCTGATGTCTCTGATGTGATACTTTAAATATAAAATGATCAGATGATAATAACTTGACCAGGGCTGGGAATGTGGCTTAGTGGTAGAGTGCTTGCCTAACATGCATGAAGCCCTGTGTTTGATTCCTCAGTACTACATATACAGAAAGGGGGAAAAAAGCCGAAATGATGCTGTGGCTCAAGTAGAGTGCTAGCCTTGAACAAAAAAGCTCAGGGACAGTGCCCAGGCCCTGAGTTCAAGCCTCAGGACTGACAAAAAAGAAAAAGAAAGAAAAAAGAACTTGGCCAGAGTTACACATTAAGTGGCAACCTAGGATCTCTGCATAATCAGGTGTGAGATAATTTCTAGTGACTTTTGTTCTGCCTAAAAAATTAATTTTATTTAAAAAAAAAGTTTGTTTTTTGTTTCTGTTTTTTTTCCCCTCCGTCTTGGGGCCTGAACTGTGGGCCTGGGCGCTGTCCCTCAGCCCTTCAGCTCAAGGCTAGTGCTCTACCATTTGAGCCACAGTGCCACTTCTGGATTTTTCTGCTTATGTGGTGTTGAGGGATCAAACTCAGGGCCTCATGCGTGTAAGGCAAGCACTCTACCACTTCCTAGCCCCACAAAAAAAATTTTTTTTAATGAATTTTACTTTTAGTTGCAACACCATGGTTTGTTTTTTGTTTTTGTTTTTGTTGGTCATGGGGCTTGAACTCTGGGCCTGGATGCTGTCCCTCAGCTCTTTTGCTCAAGACAAGCACTCTACCACTTGAACCACAGTGCCTCTTCTGGTTTTCTTAGTGGTTTATTGGAGATAAGAGTCTTACAGACTGTTCTGCCCAGACTGGCTTTGAACCATGATCCTCATATCTCAGCCTTCTGAATAGCTAGGATTACAGGCATGAGCCACTGGCACCCAGCTTGCAACAGCATGTTTTTTTTGTTGTTGTTGTCATTGTTTGTTGGTTCGTTGTGGGCCTAAACTCAAGGCTAGTGCTCTACCACTTGAGCACAGCACCACTTTGGCTTTTTTCTGCTTATGTGGTGCTGAGGAACTGAACCTAGGGCCTCATGCATGCAAGGCAAGCACTCTACCACTGAGCCACCTTCCCATCCCCTGCAACACCATGTTTTAAGTCATAAGTTAGGCTTCCAGGGACAGCTTCCAGACCCTCAGTTTAAGCCTTACAACTGACAAAATTAAAAATCCTTATACAAAATAAATTTTAATGGTAAGTAATCATTTGTATTTTTCAGAAAGCACTCAAGTTCAGACTTTCCTTTATCTAGTTCATCATTATAGAGAATAGGTTTGCTACTAATGGATAGTAAAGCAGGGAAAGGATTGACCTTTGTGATACAGATAAAACAGAAGAGATTCCTATTTAGATCACTAAAAAAAAAAAAGTCCATTTTCTTTTTTTGAGCCACCACTGTGACTTCTGTAAGCATTAGAAACCCTTTAGTCTGCCTTGAAATGTTAAAAAGCTAATCTTATAATAGCTGCTCAGTTTTATTATGAATCAGTAGAAGACATTTTCTGTCCTTTAGTAAGTGGTTAATTTCCTTGAGCCTGACTCTGGGCCTGGGAGCTGTCCCTCAGCTCTTCAGCTCAAGGCTAGCGCTCTACCACTTGAGCCACAGCGCCACTTCCGGCTTTTTTCTTTTTACTTATGTGGTGCTGAGGAATCGAACCCAGGGCCTCAGGCATGCAAGACAAGCGCTCTACCACTGAGCCACCTTCCCAGCCCCATAATTTTCTTTTTAATAAGTACTTAACTGGAGACTGCAAGCAATTCAGCAGGTCTGAATTTTATCATTCTTTTTATAAATTGATGCGTTCGCAATAGAGTTATACCATAGCATCTCAGGGATTTTTGACTATGAAACTATTAACTGAGTCCCCACAGGGGACTACTAATGAACTTTTTTTTTTTTTTTTTTTGGTCAGTCATAGGGCTTGAACTCTGGGCCTGGGCACTGTCCCTCAGCTCTTCAGCTCAAGTCTAGCGCTCTGCCACTTGAGCTACAGCGCCACTTCCAGTTTTCTGGTGGTTTATTGGAGATAGGAGTCTCACGGTCTCTCCTGCCCGGGCTGGCTTTGAACCGCCATCCTCAGATCTCAGCCTCCTGACTAGCTAGGATTACAGGCGCCCGGCAAATCTTGAACTTTTTTAAAGGCAGTGAAAATCATAAATGGTAGTGGTTTTTAGTCATGATTGACCTGGAGTTTATGGCTTTCTGCAAGGCTATTCCTGAGGCCAACCCATAATTGAAGGTTTTTTTAAGAGCTATTTTTCTTTCAAAACCAGATGACAAATGTGGTTTTTATTTTCTTTAGGTAACAAAAGAAGAAAGAACTTTTCAAGAAATAATGAAAAGTTACAGGAATCAGCCCCAAGCTAATAGTCATGTGAGTTACATTATTTTTCCTACTGTCCAAAAATAGATTTGAACTATTTCTCTGTTGACAAATTATATAAAATATGTTACCTTTACAGTTTTACTATACTTTTTATTTTCTGCTTTAATAGATACTTTTAAACTTGCACTCATTTATGGAAAGACAGTTTTAAATACAAGTCAGGAAATCTGGCTGTTTCTGATATATCCATATACTGGCATCTATTTTTCATTCTGTCACTCCAGTTGTTCTTTATTGAGTGAAATTTTTTACTAGAAGAGCTAGTGAAAGAGATATAATAATAATATTCTTTAATTATATGGAACTTGATTTTTTTGATGGTTAAATTTGGTAAAATTTGAGGATTTATTTACTAAAGCTTCTTCTTATATCATCTGCATCCATTGTCATCTTTGAGTAAATGTTAAACATCTCTGATCTGTACCAGTACCATGGCTAGAACTCAGTACCTAACCTCTGTTCATTAGCATTTTCAGTGAAGCCTAGTATTCTACCACCTGAGTCGTAACTTTATTTCTGGACTTTTGGTGGTTAATTGTAGATAATAATCTCACAATCTTTCCTGTCTGGACTGGCTTCAAACTGCAATCCTCAGATCTCAGCCTTCTGAGTAGCTATGATTACTAGCATAAGCTAGCATCAAGTTTTCTGGGGTTTTTTGTTTTGTTTTGTTTTTTGTCGGTCATGGGGCTTGAACTCTGGGTGTGGGCGCTGTCCCTGCGCTCTTCAGCTCAAGGCTGAAGCCACAGGGCCACTTCCGGTTTTCTACTGGTTTATTGGAGATCAGAGTCTCATGGACTTTCCTGCCTGGGCTGGCTTTGAACCTCCATCCTCAGATCTCAGCCTTCTGCGTAGCTAGGATTATAAGCTTAAGCCACCAGCACTCGACTTGGTTTTATTTATTTTTTTATTTTTTATTTTTTGGTCAGTTGTGGGGCTTGAACTCTGGGCCTGAGTGCTGTTCCTCAGCTCTTCAACTCAAGTCTAGTACTCTACCACTTGAGCTATAGCACCACTTCCAGTTTTCTGGTGGTTTATTGGAGATAAGAGTTTCACAGCCTTTCCTATCCGGGCTGGCTTTGAACCGAGATCCTCAGATCTTGAGTAGCTAGGATTACAGTCATGAGCCACTGGCGCCCAGCTAATAATTTTTTTTCACCTTTTATTTTGTTGTCAAGGTGATATACAAAGGCATTACAGATATATATATATATATATATATATATAAGGTAGTGAGTACATTTCTTATTGAATTTGTTATACCCCCCCTCATTTTTCTCCCACTTTCCCATCCCTTCATTCCCCACCCCCAAGTTATACAGTTTATTTCCAATATAATATCTTGTAAGTATTGCTGTTGTATTAGTCACCCTTTGTCCTTTGTCTCACCATTTTGTTGTTCTCCTTCCCTTCCCTAATTTACACAAACATATATGTATTACCTAGGGCACCAAAATAAAATACAGTGACAACAGGGGATACTGAATGTCACACGGAAGGTCTGTGTGATTCATTAGCAGTAAAGATGCAACATTATGCATCATTCACATGACCCTAAACAATTTGATTCTGCATCTCAATTTAGTGTTTGGAATGAGCTATTCCAAGATGGCACTAATGCAGACAGGAAGTTATTTGTAAAAGTGATAGGAGACATACAAAGCACAGCCACACTAAAGAAATGCATTTTCTTTCATGGGCTATAAATTATCCAGAGGAATCCTAGGATTTCTCCCCCAGCATGAAAAACTTAGCAAAATCACTGGGTGCCAGTGGCTCATGTCTACAATCCTAGCTACATAGAGGGCTGAAATACAAAGGATTTTGTTTTAAAGACAACTGGGGCAGAAAAGTCCATGAGAAGCCAGGCACCTGTAGCTCCCGCCTGTAATCCTAGCTACTCAGGAGGCTGAGATCTAAGGATCACAATTCAAAGCCAGCCCAGGCAGAAAAGTTTGTGAGACTCTTATCTCCAATAAACCACTCAGAAAACCATACGTGGTGCTGTGGCTCAAGTGGTAGAGTGCTAGCCTTGAGCTGAAGAGCTGAGGGGCAGTACCCAGGCCTAGAGTTCAAGTCCCACAACGGACCAAAAAAAAAAGAAAAAGTCCATATGAGACTCCATCTCCAAAATAACCATCAAAAAGCAAGACTGGAGGTCTGGGAAGGTGGCTCAGTGGTAAAGCTCTTGCCTTGCATGCTTGAGGCTTTGGGTTCAATTCCTCAGCACCCATAAGCAAAAAAAAAGCTGGAAGCGG